GGGCCATCCATACAACCAGACCAGGGCCTAGACCATCTGAGCAGTAAAACATGGTCCTTGGGCTGGCAGTGTGCCAGGCTGAACTTCTTGTTGCTCCTGATGGTCAGAAAAACAGGTGGACAAGAAGTCAGCTGTTCAACTTCCGAATCTGAAAAAATTGCCCTATGGGACCAAGAGCACTTACTGGGGGGAAATCAGCAAGGTGGCTATTAAACCAAATGGAAACACAGAAACCCACACGTGCAGAGGTCAAGAGAATGTCGCCAAAGGAAGAAAACCAACTTGGGAGAGCAGGGAGTCGGCCCCCGGCTCTCGTGCTCTGGAAGCCAGTTCCTTTCGCCAGTTTCGTCAGAGCCTTTTCCAGCTGCCTCAGAGGCCCAGGGGGTGGATGATGGGGTGACAGCTCGGGGGCGGCCCCAGCAGACGCGCCTGGGAAAGTCAGCAGGCCCTTACGAGCCAGGGCTCTGAGCCGGAGGCCACGGCCCACCAAGAAAGGCCTTTTGCGGAGCTGAGCGACCCCCCAGGAAGGTCAGCCACGACAGCTCTGAGCACTGCTGGCTCTCCGTCGTGTGTTACTGGTTGTTCTAAAGAGTCATGTTTGGTAAGATTTGAAGTTTCACTGCTTAATAAAGAGCTCTAACCCTGGCACCTAGCAAATGCCCAGCGAAAGCACTTCCGTCCCTGATACATTCCTTCCTTGGACAGGGCAGAGATGGCAGGGTGCTGCTGCTGGACACCCACACAGTTCACGGGGATGGCACAGGCCACGGAGTAGGCAGGATGGATGGACGTGCCTTCTGCAGCGTGCTCCTGAGAGCCAATCGCTCGGGAGAGGAGATAATTCAGACCCATTCTGGGCCTGCCATGGCCATGGGGACGAGAGGGCCTGAGGGCCCAGGAGGGTCAGGCCACACCTGGGCGACATGGTGAGCACCTGGAGGGCCACATGTCCCGTTCTCAGTGTGCCTGGTTCCCACTATCGCTCACAAGTGATATACAAAGTCCTGGGACTACTGTCAGTGGAGCTGATTCCAGCGTCTCCCAAACTTTGATAATAATTTACCAACACCAGGTGGCACCCAACAGGCCCTCAGAGAGGGTTTTTGCCAGGTCCTGAAGCAGAGACAGGTGACGTGGAGGTCATCACTTCGGGTAGCAAGTAACTCAGCCTCTTGGAAGGCAACAGACCCTAGTGACTATACTGGGTGGAACTGTCCTTCCAAAATTCATGTCCACCTGGAACCTGTGGACAGGACCTTATTTGGAAATAGGGTCTTTGCAGATGTAATTAAGGTAAAATGAGGTCGTGCTGGATTTGGGTGGGTCCTAATTCAATGACTGGTGTCCTTACAAGAGGGGTATTTTGACACAAACACAGGAAACACAGAAGAAATGGCCACGTGAAGACAGAGATATGGGGGAAAGGCCATGTAAAGACAGAGGCAGCAACTGGAGTGATGGAGATACAAGCCAGGGATGCCGAGAATTGCCAGCGACCACCAGGAGCTGGAGGAAGCAGGAAAGGATCCTCCTTACAGCCTTCAGAGAGAAAGTATGGCCCTGCCAACTCCTTGATTTCAGACGTCTGGCCTCCAGGCCTGGGAGAATCTAAATTCCTCATGTGTGCAGACCCCCAGTCTGTGGTGCTTTGTTATGGCCACCCTAGGAAACGAAGTGACTATGAGCTGGGCTCGGGTTGGATGCATCACACTGAGTGTGCCGGCGGGTGTCAGGAGGGGAAGGATGAGGGGCAGAGAGGACTGCACGGGAGGAAGAGGCTCATTTAGTCGTGCCTGCTGTTTGGGTAGGAGGCCCAGGAACAGAATTGAAGCTGGAAGCTTGTAGTTTTCCCTCTCTGCATCCTCTGTAGTGCCTGGAACAGGTACTGCATCCAGCAGGTGTTCAAGAAATGCTCACTGGCCATGCTGGCCTGATCACTCTGTGTTCCCTGAGCATCAGAGTGGTGCCTCCCACGTCATCGTCACCTCCCTCTGCTTTGCACTGTATTGTTCACGCACTTGTCTTGCTCTCAACAGCTTGGACTCATCTATTCACAAGCTGCGACCGACACCGTGTGATGGGGAGCTTCTAGATCAGTAGGACTGACCTGTATTTTTCCTGCTTTCCTTTGCTTTATCGCACCTGATTCCCCAGGGTGGACATGTCCCAGTGCCTGCACACAGGTGCCATTAAATGCTTAGAGTTTTTGGATGAGCACTTACTGTGAAGATAGATGATGTGACTGGCCACCTGGGTTGGAGGAAGCTAACTCAGCTTTACTAGAAGAGCTATTTAGAGGCTGCTGCTATTTGCTGAGTTGGCAGAGAAGCATCAGTGCCACTGGAAGTTGTCAGTAGAGATTCCCATTTACTGAAGCCATAAGCCCTGCTCCAGAAGCTGCAGCTTTGTTTTGAGTGTGACCTGAGAAATGAAATCCCTTGGCTCTCACCATGGAAAACAAGAGCCAGCGGTCAGCCACAGGCAGGATTAGCATTTGTATTCCAGATCATATTCACCATGTTGTACATCTGGGTCCTATTCACCATGTCATACAAAGCGCAATGCCTGGAAATCAATGGCCAGTGCCCAGGGCTGGTGGCTAGCGCTGAGCTCAAGTTGGCAGTGTCTTCTGACACCCACCCAACACATTGTCACTTCCCATCAACACCCAGCCTGTCCTGGGCAGGGGTTCCTTGGTGATGAATAGTCATCAGCCCATGGAAACTCCTTTGGGCACGGATAGGGTGGTACAGGAGCCCAGGGAAGTCTCTTCACTTGGCACTGCAGGGAGGGCACATCACACAGCCAAGCTGGACTGGAACCTAGATGCTTTTGTGTCCATAGAGCCTGGCAGCTGATTCTTCCATGGCCCTTTGAGCAGCTGTCCCCAACCCCGAGGCCTCAGGTGCCCACGTGGGAACGGCTTGCATGCTCAGAGTTTGCACTGAATAGCACTGCCCGAACCCTGTCACTGAAAGGTCAGCCACTTGAAGGGGCTCTGAGTGTGGATTTGCCTGCTATGGGTGGCCATGAACCCACAAGAAAACCCAGCAGCACCAGGAGGTGCCTGCCATCCAGCCAGGGCCACCATCCAGGGGCAGTAGCCCTGGTGCCCCTCTCCTTCCCCAGGATATGCTCAGTTGGGTAGCTTGTGAGCTGGAGAGCAGAGCATGACTTTCCACTCCAGGTCTCCCCGGAGACCACAGGGGTGCAGACAAACCACTGGGTGCTAAATCTCTGCAGAGTGTATTGACACAGTGGCAAGGCAGCAGCTGCGCATGAGCGACACAGGCCCTGAGGAGTGGCCGGACTTAGGCTGTCTCAGTTGCATCTGGTGGGAGGGCGTGTACCTTGGGGCAGCCCCCAGAGCATATGGACGTGAGCTCCAGAGGCTTTGCATAGATATGGTCCCAAGGCACCAGAGCTCAGAAAGGTGGGTGCTCTTCAGTAAGCCCACGGCACAGCCTGGCAGGCCAGGAACCAGGATCGGGACTTTCCAGAAGTGGCTAGAGTTCTGGCTTCCTGGAAGGGATAGTGCCAAAGGGGGCAGGACCCCTGCCACAGACGGCACACGTTGTTCACAGGGCTCATGACAGCCTCAAAACAAACTGCTGTGGCCCCAAATTAAGCCTCATTTTTCTCTCCATGGTGAACTCTGAGCCGTGGCTCCTGGCTGAGGGGTCTTCTCAGCAGACCAGCAGTTTGCTCTTGCAAATTGAGACTGAATTTGAGCTTAACTACAAGATCCAAAGTCAAGTGGTGGAGGAGGGCCAGGGTCAGCTCCAACCGCCCCTGCACGGGGCCTCCCTGGCTCCCAGAGAACACTGGGCTCCAGGCATGAAGCCACATCTCAGCCTCTGAGCTCTGGCCTGTGTGCAGGGCCAGGGCTTATCCAGGACAGGACGGACAGGTTTATATGGCAGGGCTGCCTGGTGTCAGAGCTGGGAGGGCCTCAGGACTGGTCTAGGCTGCCCCCACTCTCGGGAGATGGCAGGACTGGGGAAGGATGGTCCTCTTTCCAAACAGGCTCTGGCTGAGCAGTTACTGACCTGATAACCCCCACTGGGCCTGGGCCTCTGGCCAGTCTGCCTCGGTTTACACAGGGGAATCCTTCCTTTGCCCTCACCCCACTCTCCAATCAGCAGCCTGGGAGGCCAGGTGGAGCCCTGGGAGGCCCCAGCATCCTTCAAGGGCAGCTCTGGTTGATGAGCCTGCTGTATAAAAGGCAATCCTCACCCCTGACCCCAGTCAGCCTCCACCAGACCAGGCACAGAAGAGAAAGCCAGTACCAAACGCTGCAAGGAGTGCCTGACAGGGACTTTACTGGACGACTGGGTGTCTTTAGTTCGCTAACAGGTCACAGGCCAGCAATGAGCTGCACAAACAGTGGGTGAACTCACACCAAACATGCTGGTTCCAGCTGTGACCCCGCATGGGCCCCGGGCACCTGCCCGCTGTGTCCTCTGCTCCTGTGTCATAGGGACATGGGGAGCCCGTGAGGGACAGACAGGGCCTGCATGGGGCACCGAGGACAGGCAGGCAGCCATTGCCTCACTCCTCCTCCTCCCGAGGCCTTCCTGGGTGAGCGTGGATCCGTGGTTGTGGGCGGCGGAGGGAAGGCCTACAGGGAAAGGAAGCGGAACAGCAGTGCCGGGAGCCCCAGAGCAGCTCAGGGCCCTGGAGAGATGGGGCCCTTGGAGCCCAGGGAAGGCAGAGGAAGAGGAGAAATTCAGCTTGCAGACCCCAAGCAGCCTATTTCCTCCCACTCTGGCCCTGACTGGACAGCTGACAAGGGTGCATGAGACGCAAAACAGAGCAGACAGGGGCCTCCCCACCTGCCATGTACGCCCTGGCACAGGACAGGAGCAGGGTGCAAGAGGCTCTAGCCTGGGTGGGGGCACCGCCTTCAGGGGTGGCTGTTGGCCCCAATCACAAATGGGTCTGCAGTCCTAGTCCTAAATGTCTCTGACAGGTAGGACAAGCCATGGTACAACAGTGACTGCATTTCATTAAAAACTCATGTTTCATTACAAACTAGTTCTGAACATGAAGAACATATTTAAAAAAGACATATTGTTGGCTCCATTAAACATCATTCATTCACTGAGAATTTCTTGAGGACTGCGCCAAGCCCAGACCCATGTGCCAGGGCACAGGGGTTCCAGGAGGAGTCTAAGGCACTGGTTCTGCCCTGGCACAGGGCTCCTCCCTGGCAAGGCAGCTTCCACGGGTGAAAGGCTGGTGGGAAAGGCCAGACCTGGAAGACACGGAGGGCCTGGCAGCATCGGCCACTGGACAGACGGGCCCTCGAAGCAGTAGCCAGAGCCTGCTGCCGAGGCTGCTGTGAGCAGGGGGTCTCCCCAGGCTGTGGGCCAGAGCAGAGCTCCCAGGGGGCCATGACCTTGTTCAGAGCTGCAGTGGCAGACACTGGCCCAAGCAGGCCCAAGGAGGCCATGGTCTGGTCAGGCCTCAGGCCCTCCCTGGGAAAAGGACGAGGAAGACTGGGGCTTTGTCAGGTCATCCATACCCCAAAGAGGCAGGGCTGGGCCTGACATCCCCCTCAAGCTGGGCACCCAGGGAAGTACCCCACCTAGCACCTGCTAACCAGAGGCAGCCCAGGGACACCCTGCCCGGCTGGACTTTCCTAGTCACCCACTTAGCACTCCTCTCCTGGAGGACCCGCTCAGAGCCTGGAGGCCCCCAAAAGCCATGCTGCTTAGAGACACTGGACCCCCACCTCCACCCCGGGGCGGCCAGACTGTCCCTCCTATGCTGGGCTGGCAGAGCCAGAGGGCACGGTTTTCCTGCCCTGGCTGGAGCCTCCCTGGGCACCCCTAGTCTCCCTCCATCCTGGGGGCTGGGCTCCTGGTTAGCAAGGCTCCCCACACGCTCTCCTCTCCATGCCCACATGCTGGACAATCCAGGCTCCGAGTCCTGTGATGACCGCACTCTCTGACCCCTGCAGAGGTGCAGGACTCCACCGGCAGGAGAAAAGGGACACGGCAGTACAGGGTTCCTATGACCTGGTCTGGCACCCTCCCTCCCCTGAGAACAGAGGTCCTGGTCCCACAGAGCAAAGCCCCCACCTCACCAATACCCCTCCAAGGAAAGGGCCTGCCAGCTCAGGGCCAGCACGGGGTTGGGAGGGTCAGAAAAGGCTGGGGGTGGCCTGGGCAGGTGTGTCGTGATCCTGGATATACTGCAAGATGTCCGTCTCGTTCATGGCTTGGATCTGCTTCTGCTGCTTCCACTGCCCGGCCTCAGCCTCAGATGGGCCTGCTCTGGGGGGAACAGCTGGCTTTCTGGGTAATGATGGCTTGGTTGCCACTGGAGGCTTGGGCTTAGGCTGGGGCTGGGGTTTGCGCTCAGCCCCCAGGTTCAGGATCTGGTCCAAGTCCTCTTCTACCCTAGGGAACCAGAGATAGAAGCCCTGAGCCAGGCCCCGGGCAACAACACCCCCACATGGGACGGGGCCCAGCCCCCCCACCCTGGCCCTTCCACCATCCTGCCCCCATCATATTACATCCCCAAAACCCTCTGTGGAGTATGGCCGAATCTCCTGCAGGTGAGGACGCTGAAGTCCCGGGAGGCTGAGCGACCTGCCTGAGTTGGAACCAGGACATTTGACTTCAGAATATGGGCTTCCATCTAGACAGAGTCCAGCCAGAGAAAGAATAAACGAGGGGCTCTGACTGTTGTGGGGTGGGGTCTGGCCACCCACTGCACCCCACTATGGGCCACATGGGTGCAGACAGAGCCCACTGAGGGCTGCAGCCAGCCTCGGCCACCAGGAGTCCACCACAGCCCTGGACCCTATGGCCTATCAGCGGGTGGGACCAAAGCCTGCAGCAGTGTGACGGTCACCCAGGACCAGCCCCAGGGACCAAATGGCAGTAAGAAAGGCAGGCCACAGCCGGCTCTGCCCTCTTTGCCTGAGGGAGCTCCTGCTGCTGGCTTGGGTGGAGGAACTCAACTCCTGGGGACCATATGCACAACAAAAGACCCACTTGATCCATCCTACCGCCCACCGACCTTCCGTTGTGCTGAATACCTACGGCCCTGCATTTCCACATTCATTGACTCACAGAGTCATCACAAAACAGTGCCTGGTGATTTACAGGTAGGAAAGCTGAGCGATAAAGGGCCTCACTTGGCCCCCAACTAGCTTGTGGAGAAGCGGGACTTGGCCCAAGAATGGCTGGTCTCTGGCGTGTTTGCTTTCCTGAGGCACCAATGCATGGAGGCCCGTTCTCAGCTACAGGTTGGGGTTTCTCCAAGGTCAAGGGTCTCTCTTTATGCTGAGGCTGCAGGCCCCACAGAGCCCCTTCAGTCACACCTGCCAGGTGACACTGTTGGACCTGTTGCCTCTGAGGACCCAGCCCAGGCCCCTCTGGCCTTTCCGAGGCAGGAGCTTCTCCCAGGGCCCTGGGGTGGCCTCCCACACACCTGCATCCTCAGGGCTTCTCCCCTGGGCCGGGCTTCAGGATGCCTGCTTCTCCACTTCTCTTGTCCTCACATAGGACAGTCCCAGCTAGGATGCAGTGATTCAAATAAGACCCAGAGCAAGAATAGTTTCAAAGCAACAGGGTCCTTTCCCTCAATGGGCCTCAGTTTCCCCATCTGTGAGGGGCTGGAAGACGCCACTTCAGGACTGCTCGTTTCTGTAAGATGCTATGAAAGAATGACCCAGCTGGTGCTTCCACGCCTGCCCCCACCTGGGCAGGTGGCGGGCAAGAGTGCTTTCTTGGCCCTGAGTGGGGATCAGGAATGATACCCCCAGATCACATTTCCAGGGCCACAGCAGCCTCTCTCCTGCCTGCCTGGAGAAGCTGTGCATTGGCCAGTCAGGTCTGGAACTAGGAGACAGCGGGAGACCCAGGGCTGGAGGTAAGGGTTTGATAGCAGTATGCTACGGGCTTTGGCAGAGTTACACAAAAAATCTCCACTGAAGCCCAGGGGCCAATTTTGGAATTCCTAAAGAGGGGTTCCTGGCCCTTTCCAGGCTTCCTAAGCCAGTGGCCAGCAGAGCTATCCAGACAGGCAGGTGCTGCCCACACCTGGGCTGAGAGCTTCCGTGGGCCTAAAGGAATCTCAATACACTTCATTCAGCCACACTGGGGATGGAGAAGGAGGATACAGGCGCTGCAGGCAGAAGACCTGGGGGGCCTTGCTCAGGCCTCTTGGCCTCTTCAAGAGTAGGTTTTCTCATCCACAAAATGGGAACAGCAGCATTAGCCAGCAGGGTTAGAAGCACTGCGCTGTGGGCAGAAGGTGGTTGGATTCCTTGTCCAAATAGCCCTTCATCAGTGGCCTCAGGCCACTCCGCCTCCTCATCGGTAAATGGGATATAGCTCCAACATGAGCAGGGCCATGTAGAGGCCTTCATGGGCATGAAGGTGCCCAGTGTAACCCTCCCCTGGAGGGGCTGTCTGCCAGGTATCAGCAGCTGCTGAAGGAACTCTGGGTTGCTCTGCCTGCTTCCTGGGTTGACCTCCTGTGACAGGGTGCAAACCCTGAAGGGAGAATTCAGAGCCTCCTAGATAGCAGAGAAGTGAGCAAAGGCATCCTTCTACTCTAGACCTGGAGGGACTATCAAGCCAGGCCTTCGAAGAGAGGGTAGCTGTCTTGGTTCAGGGTGACCCCTGGAGGCCCTGCCATTCCCCATGACTGACTCTAGTATGCTTTCCTGTGTCTCAGCCCCCCTGCTAATGATACAACAACAATCCTGGCTTCTCCCAGCCTGCTGGGATGTCAGAGGCAAGGAAACAGAATGACGGTGAACAGATGTCAGGGGCCATGGGGAGATGTAAACACAGGAAACCATCACTGTGACTCCAGCTTGGTGGGCACTTAGGGGGCTGTCTAATAGGCCATGACTGCTAACAAGGGTGCAGATGACAGCCTGCCAGGACAGCCCGCCTTGGCACCTTGTAACTGTTCCTGCAAAGAGCCAGCTCGGATTCCTGCAAGTCATCCAGCACAGCTGCATTCTGGGGGCTGTGGCCACTGCAAAGGGAAGGGAACACAGAAGCCTGGGGAGAGCCAGCTGCTGTCCCAGAGCAGGAGGCAGGTCTCCCAGCCTCTCCTCCTCCACATGCATAGAGGGTCCTGGAAGGTGTGGGCAGGACAGGACGCAGGCAGACAGACTGGGTTCCAATCCCCGCTCTGTCACCTGGGAGCTGTGGTTTGGGGCTAATTACCTCTCTCACACTCCTTTTTCAGGATAAGGGCATCTGCATGGTGGGTGCTGGTGTGAGGATGAAATAAGGTCATGCGGAGAGAGTCCAGCAGACTGGCTGACACACAGCAAGCTCTCTGCAAGTAGTAGCTACGGTTCTGCACACACTAATCCACTTCCACGTAACAGATTAAACCTTGCTCTCCCCTCTGTAAAGCCTGCCCATGCGACCTTGCCAGGACTGGCCGGGCCCAGCATATTTGTGCTTTGCTCCTTCTGGGTGAGCTGCATGCTACCAAGCATCAGTTTTATTTGTCCCTAACCTGTTTATGCCAGTTACACTTGCTCTTGCAATTGCACAAATTAGCTATTCTTTATGCAAACTATTAAATAAAAGTTTGAAAAGGAAAAGAAAAAAGACATATGCATGAAGTTCTCCCTTTCCGGACCTTGTTGAGTTGCCCTGGGCCACTGACCATCCCCCCGGTCCCCCAATCCCTGTTACTGGCTCCTGCCTGTGACCGGCCAGGATTCCCTTCCCTTGGAGGCCAAAGCTGGTGAAATGCTCCCACTCGGGGTCCCAGGCTCCGTCTAGGCCACTCTCAGAGTTGGTGAAGAACTGCCGGGGACAGGTGGTACCTGAACAGTTTCTCGTCGGCCTCCATGTGGCCTGGGCGGGATGAGGGCCCTCCACTCTCACAGCTGGCGGCTGGCAGTAGTAAGGGGTCACCCAGGGAGACAGCCCCGCCGAGGTCAGGATCATCAAACAACTTCAGGGCTGCGGAGGAGGCAGCAGCAGAGTGGTCAGGACGTCCTGGCCCGTCCTCAGCTGCCCGGGGGGTAGGGTGGAGACGGCCTGGCCTGGCATCCTGGCCCAGCCAGGAGAGAGTGAGCAAGGGACAGGGCAGAGTGCAGAGAACAAGAGGAATGGGGCGAGGAGGGTGGGGGACATGTGCCCAAGGCCTGGCGCACCTGTCTGCCTAGCCCCACGTCCCCCTCCCTCCGGGCTGGGCCAGAGTCAGCTGAGGACACCACTCCTGGGGTCTAGTCCTGGAGGCCTTCCCACTGCCTCAGGAGGAAACAGCCCCTTCAGCTCACTGTGCCAGGCTCCCCATGACTGGATCCAGCTGGATCCCCTGGCTGCACCCCAGCCTTTTAACAATTGGTCACCTAGAGCCAACCACCAGCCAGGGGCAGCTGCCTACGGGGCTGCAGTGGAGAAGCTGACGCCATTCTGACCGCAGACCCCACCTTCAAGGAGCCAGGTCTACTTGCCACCCTCTCCCTGTCTCGCCTGCTCAATGCTGCCCTTCGGGAAAGGTGGTCACTGCTCCTCACCTGGAAAACACTTCCTCTACTGGCCTAGCAAACTCCTGAGACCTCAGGGACACAGCTCAGGCGGAGCCTCACCCTGGGGTCCCCACAGGCACTGACCGCTCTTACAGGCTCAGGCCGTCCTGCAGCTGTCAGGTGTCCCACCTTCCACAGGGGGCCCTGAGGCCGGGGCTGGGTCCTACTCATCAGTGGTTCTCAGGTCCAGCACGGAGCCCGGCCCTTGGGGGGTGCTCGCCGGGTGCTGGAGGGACTAGTGGGTGAACCTAGATGAGGACCTGGGTGGGTGAGTAAGGTCAGAGCCAGGGACGAGCAACGAGGTCCCAAGGCTGCTCAGCTTTCCCTTCCCAATGCTACCCGGGGGTCTGTGTGGGCAACAGAAAACCTCTTGTTATGATCCAAATTGTACAGAATCACCGCATGCCCGGGGGGGCCAGCATCCATTTTCCAGCTGGTGCTCACATCTGGCCACTGGTATAACAAAGACACTTGTACGCTGCTCATAATCCACACTTCTTAAAGCAACAAAGAAAACCACCCTCCTCTCCGTTGCGATGCCTGGAATGAACATATGGCCCAGGAATGCTCCAGGCTATGGGGACACCAGTGCGAGACCAGATTTCTTTTAGCAGAAAATTTCCATAAACTGAGTCTGTGTCATGTCAAAACAGGACACAAGGAAGACTTCCATTCTGCTCAAGTAAGACAGGTCCTCAGCCAGCGGGTCACTGAGGGGACAGGGAGGGCCAAGGGGATACCCTGGCGCTTGACTTACAGTCCTTGGGGGGCACGTCTTCTGCGAAGTTCTGGGAGAGCTTCCTGCCTGGGCCAAAGAGCCCCTCATCAGGGTCCACCTCCTCGTCAAAGAGGGTGAGCCGGGGTGAGGGTCTGGGCTTCACAGCCACTTCTGGGTGCTTCTTAGGCTTCTTGGAGCTGGAGAATCACAGATAAAATTCAAGGTTAGGACTCCTCATGAGAGCGCCACCAGCCGGCCCAGGTGGCCTGGTCAGACCCTCCAGGCCAGGTGAGCTTGAGCTTGTGTCAAGAAGGAACTTTCCAGGGACCTGACCATGGAGGCAGTGAGACCCTGGTGCTGGGAGCAGCCGAGCGCACATCCGGGAAGCCACCGCTGTGGGGATGGATGCGCAGGGGGAGCAGGTGGGTGTTTGACCTACACAGCTGATGGCTGGACAACTCCTGGCTCTGAAGGGCCACCTGGACTCAGGCCTGCCTGCATGGCCACAGGCCACAGAAACCTGCTCTCCTTCTGGAGGCAGTGGGGGCTGCCTCAGGGCACCCAGGTGCCAGATTCAGTCACTTGACAACCAGTAGGAAATGTGGGTGGATGCGGCCTGAGGCCAAAAACCTCAGGGTGTGGACCCGGAGAGAGCAGAAAACAGCCTCGGTAAATGCACCCTTGTTTCCCCACATGTATCCCCGCTTCCCTTGAGAGGTACAACCTCCACATTCTAGAAAACACTTCAGTCCCACTGAGCAAACCCCAGCTCCTTCAGGAAACCCCCTTGGCTACACAGAGCCCCAGCGGCTCTGTCACCTCTAAGGTCCCTTTACGTCTCCTTCACTGACTGGCCGAGGTCCTGCTCTGACCCAGATGCTGCTGAAGGAAACTGGGAGAGGGCACAAGAGAAGCTTCTGGGCCACAGGGGCACCTCATTTCCTGACCTGGGGTGGAGGCAGTTACACGGCATGCGTGTCAACATTCACAGAACCGAATGCTGAAGATCCATATGTGATTCTTGAATTATACCACCAATAAATAAACAACCTTTATTTTATTTTAACAAGGTGGTCCAACCCCTGCTGTGGATACCTAAACTAGCCATTTTAAGGTTTCTAAAAGCAGTATGTTTTTTACTGGAACCAGGATTTCCAGCGTGCCCGCCTACATGGGGTGCAGTTCCACTGGACTGAGGTCACCATCGAAGCGCATGTTGGCAACACTATGTGGCAAGACGGCACCAAGGGGCTGGTCCTGCCCTGAAGAGTGGTACAGATTAATCAGTAGCAGATACAAAGAGCCGTAGGATGGCCCTGGGTGTTGGATTTAGATTTCTGGTGGAACCTCAGGCTCCCAGCTGAGACGGGGAGAAGCTACAGAGGCAAAGAATGCACCTGCCAGAAGGCCACACACAGGCTGGGGCCACCTCTGCACTCAGGGCCGAAGCCCTGGCAGGAGCATCTCTGAGAGGCTGGGTGGTTCAGAGAAGCGGGCTGTACGCCCAAGGCGCAGAGCAGGCAGAGAGGGCTATGACGAGAACGCGGGGCAGTCATGCCCTCGGTCCTCTGCTCCCACCCGGAGCACGAGGGAGAGAAGGATGGGGTGGGGACCACAGGATCAATCTCTGCTGCTCTTTGGGAGAAAGTGGCTCGTTCTGAGGTAGAGAAGGAGAGCAGACTCGGGGGCGGGGCTGTGCCAGGAAGGCCCACATGCCCTGGTCCCCACTCTTTCTCCATCCTGGGCACAAACCAGACAGGCTCACATCACAGGCCACGGACATGCCTGTTTGGGAGCCATACTAGGCACTGCCTGCGGTACCAGGTAAGGTGAAAGGAGCCGGGCTTCTCCAACCTAACAACAAGTGCTTTCCAGAAACTTCAGCCATGCCTCCCACACACCCTGAGGACTCAGGTGGCCAGCTCTGATGGCGATGTCTTCCCCTTTTGGGTCCATGAATCAGGGAGAGCCAGATCAGCTGTTATGACTGCTGGGAAGCGGGTACTCAAGAGACACTATGCCCCTCTAGAAGGCCAGCAGAGATGCCCCACCCAAGACCTCCCGAGAACCCCAGGGTCGGCCCAGGAAGCTGTCTGAGTCCCTGAGGAGTGTGGTGACCAGTCAGCTCTGGGTTCCGCCCCATCTTTCCCTCAGTTACCCCTCACAGCCACCCCGCTTGGTCCTGCTCCTGGGCCCGGAGGGGACTGCAGCAGGGAGGGGGGGACCCCCACCCTTACGCCTGCTGTCCAGGGCTGCAGGTCCCAGGGAAGGCAGAGCCGAGGCCTTGCCACTCCCCATAGCCACTGCCCGCAGGGTCACCCCACTGAGAACCTGGTGGGCCCCGAAACAGCCCCTTGGGAGAGCAAACTCACACCCTCCCCAGCAAACTGGGGCCGAGGGGTGAGAGGCTTCACAGGGACCAGAAATCAGAAGAGGCAAGGAGAGAAGGAACTGTCTGAAGAACAAAGGAAATGAGCGAGGACAGACGTGATTAATTATGTCTGGAGAAGCCAGGCAGAGTTTCAGTGACTTCCTTTCTTACAACTACTTCTGGTTCTGAGAGCAGAGATCAGGCCCGACTTCCCTGCTACGTGATGTTTCCTCTCAAATTGGATGAATGTCATTTTCCTCCCCAGAGACATTTCTGATCTTTTGTTGTCTTGAATTGAAATAAAGTGACTCTGTGGCACACGGGGCTACCCTGTCAGGACCATCTGTACTCTCCCCATCCCACCAGGGGCCATCCTGTCCCCCAGACCCTCCCTGACAGCCCCTGGGTCCTGTCCTGCCCGGCCCCCACGGTTCAGTCTCTGGGGCCCAGCAGTGTGCCTGGTTCAGAGCAGACATTCCAGAAATACCGGAACGGTGAAAGGCTGCACGTGTGGCTGGCTAGTGGGGTAGGTGGGTAGATGGTGGAAGGAACAAAGGGAGGACAGACAGACAAATGGATGGACAGAGAGCGGGGGAGTACATCTCTTACCCAGATTTATTTCTGCCTACTGCCCCAGGGAGGAGAGAAGGGGAGTGAAGATAGAAGGGTCCCCAGCATTCTCCAAGACAGACACCCACACTTAGGAAGCCCCCCTTCCTCCAGACACACTGGTCATCTCATCTGCTCTCACGTCCGCCCTGCAGCCATTCTGGGGGCAGCCCATCCACTCCCTCTGGGAGCCTTCCGTGGCCCAGCACTCATGGGGCACCTCCCTTGTGCAAGAACCTGAGCTGGATGATGAGGGCAGAGATGAGTAAGACCTGCCACAGCGCCCACAGGCTCCCCGCCGAGCAGAGTCACGTACACGTAAACCGCTCATGACCACACACGGCAGTAACTCCGGGACAGCCAGAGCACGGAGCCCTCAGAGGCGATGCAGAGGCACTCAGCAGCCTAGGTGGGTGAAGGGCTTAGGGGCGACGCAGGCAGAGGAACCAGAGGCCTCATTCTGTGAGGGTCTGTGTGTGTGCGCCTTAGGCCTGACCAGGAACTGGGTCCCCCATGCAGCTCTGCTCACGGGTCCACGGAGAAATCTGGGGCCTGAACTGGGAGAGCAGCTGCCGTGTGAGGGAGACAGGTCAGGGAGGACATCAGGAGCAAAAGCACTTAAATTTAACATTTGGACTGTCGTTGTGAGCACTGGGCAGAAGGGCTGCCTAGGACGCCACCAGCCTTCTGACCTTGGGCATGGGGACGGGCGTTTCATGAGTGAGTCTCCGAGCCCTATTTCTTCCCCTCCCTCACAGGTCCTGTGAGCAGACTCAGGCTACACACCGGGGCTGTGGCCCTGGTGTCCCATGCTGCCATCAGTGCCCACCCAGCTGTCTGCAGGACACACAGGCCAGCTCTGCTGAGCACCCCACCAGCCCACCCTCCATGCTGACTCGAGACAAAGCCCGTCACTCTCACGATGCCTCTTTTCTCCTCTCACCAAAGGAGGCTGGTACAGGTATGCTCTGTCACCAGGGGTGAGGCGACTGGGCATCAGATAGAGAGGTTGGCAATGGATGTAACTGCAGTCCCAGACTTCTTGTTGAGGAAGGCAGGGCCCTAAGCTTGTGAGGGTCCCGGCACAGCCTAGATTGCCTAAGGCAGGTGGGGGGCTTCCTGGATGGGTACAGGCATGTGGGAGCATGTTCCTGCAGCACCCACGTGTATGAGTGGACAGACATCAGCTTTTCTGCTGTGTGTACCTGACAGGAGACAGCGGCCCATCCGACAGCTCTGACAGCCCTGACAGCCACGCAGTGGCCTTGCTCTATGAGACTCTGGCTGTTCTATGACAGTGATTGACATATGACAGCATCCTCCCTCCAGCCACCCAGGGGGCTTGTGTTCATGTTCCTGGATATTCCTGCACCCCGTGGAAGACCACTGGTGGGCACCAGCTGTCCAGGACCTGAGTTACTTGAGTTGCAGGGGCATCTCCCAGACCAATCAGAAGATAATGGATCCTTCCAAAGGCCAGACTCACAGACAACATGACTGGTACCTTCAAAGCCAGGGTGATACATAGCTAAATATGGAAATCAACCTCCTTTCCAATTATAAAATTTTTCTGCTTCTAAATAAAGTGTTTTACATTTTTAAATCTTAAATTCAGCTTTTTCTTTCAATTAGAGAAAATTCTCAGAGTGCAAATAATTGAACTTGTGAAATTCACTCCAGGACATGTTACTTGCCGTAGCGCCAGGCCACAGGGCTTCTCCAGTGACCCAATCGCCAGAGTTGTGCGACTTCAGGGAAGGTCCGCGTGTCGGGCTGAGCAGAAACGGGCAGCTGGCACATGCCGAGAGGAGGAGAGTGAGCGGAAGTCTGGGCGGCAACCCGATGGGCGGGGGGAGATTCTGGGCCCTCCCGAGGGAGGGGCACTGGAGCAGCATGTTTTTCCCATGTCTGACCCCGGGCCAGTCATTTCATTTCTCTGGGGCTGTTTCCTTATCTGTTAAGATGGAATAAGGAATGCTCTGGAAGCTGCAGAGTGGAGCCTGCATGCAGGTCAGTGCTGGCCCAAACAGAGGCCTGTGCTCACAGGTGCTGCTTCATGACACCTAGGCTCACATTGTGTTTTGATCCAAAAGACTTCATTCTGGGCCTTAAAAAGTAGAACCTGCCTGGTAGACACCCATCATTTGCTGTGGTCCCAGAGTCATACTCAAGGATCTATTTCTCAGCAGCCACAGCCTGACTCTGCAGGCCACCAAG